TCTTGAGAGGCAGCTCAGGGCTGTTCCTGAATGCAGAGACCAGTGGCCACAGGCTAGGTTAGGGACGTCAGTTGCTACCGGAAGCCAAACACCAGCTCAATGATCTTTGGCACACCACTGCTTTTCTCTGGCCTCAGTATATGTCCAAAGAACTATACAACACACACCTTGCTGGCTGGGCAAAGCCAGACAGCTAATCCCAGGAAGTGCTCTTATCTTAGAAAAAGTAACTTTGCTCTGATTTTGCTTTTGTAATTCTCTGACGTTATAAAATATGAACTTTAACTGCAAATGATTTAAAAATAAATCAGTACTCAGCTAGGGAGCTGAATACTGGTGGTCACACCTGTAATCCTAAATACTCAGACTCAGGAGGCTGAGATCTGAAGATTGCAATTCAAAATCAGCCAGGGAAAAGTCCATGAGACTCTTTATCTCCAATTAACCATCAAAAAAGCCAGAAGTGGAACTGTGGTTCAAATAGCAGAGTGCTAGCCTTAAGCAAAAGAAGATCAGGGACAGTACCCAAGCCCTGAGTTCAAGCTCCAGGACTGGTGTGTACATGTGCATGCCCCCGCCTCCCCAAATCCCTAGAGAGAGAATAGCTAATTTTTATTTGAGAGTCCAATTTCCCCAAACATGCCATGCAACCTGAAGCTTGATTCTGATGCCAAAAGCACCAACATTCCTAGTGTGTGACAAATGTTTGGTGACAATATAGGGTCATGAATTGATGCTAACAAGAGGCAGGGTATTAACCATGTCACCCAGATTGGGCCTAAAGTCCAGGGCTCAAAGCTGCCTCAGCCTCTCAAGTAGCTGGGATCTACTGGAGAGGGGTGTGCCACTACAGTTAGGTGACCTTTTCCTCTTTCAGTGGGCAAATGTAACTAAATATTTGCTAACATGGCAACATTCATAAAAACTAAGTCTGGGGCTGGGAATGTGGCCTAGCATGCATGATGGGTACCATTCCTCAGTAAAATATAAACAGAAAAAGCTGGAAGTGGTGCTATGGCTCAAGTGGCAGAGTGTTAGCCTTGAGCAAAAGAAGCTCAGGGACAGTGTCCAGACCCTAAGTTCAAGCTCCATGACTGGCAAAACAAACAAACCAGCAAACAAAAAAGCAACCCCCCCCAAGCCCACCAAAAACCCCTAAGTCTGATGATCCAATGTTTACTATGGAATATCTTCAAGAAATTAATTGAGCTGGAGCGGGGTACAGTGGCATATGCCTATATTCTCAGTTCTTGGGAAGCTGAGATAAGGAAGGATCAGAAGTTCAAGGACAACCTGAACTACACAATAAGACTTAAAAAAAAAACAAACTGGTGGTTCACACATGTAATTCCTAGCTACTCAGAAGGCTAAGATGTGAGGATCATAGCCAGCCCAGGCAGAAAAGTCTATGAGACTCTTATTTCCAATTAATCACCCAAAATTTAGAAGTAAAGCTAGAGCTCAAGTGACAGAGTGCCAGCCTTGTGTAAAAAAGCTAAGGAATAGTGCTCAGACCCTGGGTTCAAGCCCTAGTACTGGCATACACAGAAAAAAAAAATTCTACCAAAGTATGACTACTCTCATGTAGTCCTGATTCTTTAGGGTCATATAAAGGTACTGAACATGGATAACAGAGAAGAATCAAATCAGATTTCAGGCTAGTGTCTAGGTTTTCTGTCTCTAGATCTATAGTTTACACTGCCCCAGAATCTCCTCATAAATACCAATTCTCCTACTAAAAATTTTCTCTTCTTTCTAATCAAATGAGTGATTCTGTTCCAGCCCCAACAAAGACTACAAATGCCCAATGGAGAAGAGTTCAAATAAATGAGGTTACCTTTAAAAAAAAGAAAGTGGGCTCAAGGTTATAAGGGCTCACCACTCTTTAATGTGTTTGCTAAGTGTTAACACCGCTACAAACCACAGAAACTTCATTAATGTTACATGTACTAAAACTCAATAGCAATGTTTATCTACTAAAAAGACAGAAGGACTTTACTCAAATGTTTAAAACTAGAGCTCTACATTGATAGCCAAATCCCCCATCAGTCACGCTCCCTGCAAAGCATCTCCTCTGCCTTAGGACCAATGGCTCTCAGGTGGATTTAGTGCTTGAGACACCAATGCCGGAGAAAGAACATTCAACATGTGCAGCTGAGAAAACCAACCCTAGCTTAGGAGATGAGAAAACAAGCCACCTTATTATAATCAGCCTTGTTTATCCATCTTGATTAATAACTTTATGGCACATTTCAGTTTCCAGAAACGGTCTACAAGCTGTTCTGGGTTGCTGCAGTTCCCTAGCCAGTACCATGGTGTGTGGTGGTGTGCTGGCAGGAGAGGGTGGCTGGTGAAATAGTCATCTCCTGATGAGACCTCCTCACTTCTTCTAAGAAGGAATCTTCACCCAGAGTTGAGCCACACGCTGGGATGAACACATTTCGGAAGTAGTGACCAGACCAGAAAAACAGATTATGTCTTTGAAAACAGACTACCTCTGATAGAGAAACTGGTTGTGAAAATATGATGGTTCCATTCAGACCGAGGTCTACAAGGTCATGATGAGATAAATATCATGAGACTAGAGAGAAATAATGTTCAATATTAATATACCAATAACAAATTCTCTACATATACAACTAATCTGCCCTAGAAAGCAGAAACCAGGAATGGAGACAGATTGGTTAGAATAAAAGACTCAAAGAACTTGAAAGGAAAAGAAAGACGAAAAGCAAACCTAAAATCTAACTATCGAGGTATCTGAGCAGCTTCTGGCAATGTCAGTGTGACAGCATGAAGTTTCATTAGGAAGAAGAGTCAGAGTCAAAGTGTGCTAAAAAAAAAAAAAAAAAAGCAAAGCAGTCAGGCCTGCCAACACAGTGCCTTTCAGGGCACAATGTCCCTCCACTGGCTATGTCAGGTCACCAGTGACAGCTGTGAGGGTGCCCTTGGGTTACAGGAATTTCAGGATAACTGACTGCTGCTAACTAGTTTCAGGTTAACTACCTGAGGTAGACTGCCTACTCTCTTCCTCCCTTGGGAAATTTAAGAGAACTTCTTGCTAAAGGATGTCCTCTCTTTAATTTCTTATCTTGCAGAGAGAACCCAAAACGCCCCAAGGAAACAGTAGATGGCCAACAGACAACTTATTTCTATTCACTTGTATTTCTGAGAGTCTACTATCAAAGCATTCAACATTGGGGATACCCAATTTAAAGATGGACGCCTTCTAGCTGGATGGTCAGAAAATACCACCGCTGAATAGGTTTCACCTTATTCTCCCATTTGAAGCACAGTTAACAACCTTTTTCATCTAGAGATAAAAGATCATCAATTTCACTTCAATATATGATCATGAAATCTCATTAAGAAAAGATGTTATAGTTTTTAAAAAAAGCCAGCACAGGCTTCAGCAAGCCTATATTTATCTACCGATTTATTTATTTATTTATTTTCACCAGTCCTGGGGCTCAAACTCTGGGCCTGGGCACTGTCCCTTAGCTTCTTTGCTCAAGGCAGCACTCTATACCACTTGGGCCACAGTGCCACTTCTGGCTCTTTGTTTATGTGGTACTAAGGTATCTAACCCAGGGCTTCATGCATGCTAGGTAAGTACTCTACCACTGAGCCACACTTCCTGCCCTAGCTGTCCTTTATCGCATATATATATATATATATATATATATATATATAAAATCTCATATATATATATCTTATGCATATAATATATAGCATATATATTATATACACATATATGTATATATATTTGTGTAGATATATCTTTGTTCTACCAGTTAATGAATGGGCAGGCTCCTTGGGAACTCTCCTTCATCTTAGTAGTCTATCCAGGCCTTACATTTTCAGGTGAGTTACTATAAATGGAAAGTGTTTTATTCAAACATCATGCAACCAAGCCAGGTTTTAGAAACATAAGTAACTAGTGGAAAAACACATTTCCACCTATGTACCCTGTGCTGTGCTGTGGCTGGCAGGTGAAGAGATGCCCAGCTGGGGGAGGAGCCCGGCCTTTGCTGAGCTACACTTCTAAGGTCAAAGCAGTCACTGTTCATGCAGCCAGACAACTACAAAGAGAAAAATTACCCCTAGGGTTTCATTTTTTTTGGTAGATAAGAACTGCTCTAATCCCAAATCCCCTAATCCACAGCCAGGTTCCCAACAGTTACTCTGGAGCCAAGAGGTTGAGCTGAACCAGTGGTTGTAACTCAACTACTGTTTGTCATCTGAAGTTTGCTAAAGTCTTAAATTTGAGATTCGGTTCCCACAGTATCTATTCCTGGAGGGTGTTATGGAACTCACACCTGGAAGATAGCTTCCCACTCTCTGTAGGCCTCTAGCCACTTCAAGGACTTGGGAGCCACAGGGGTAAATCAAGTCACAAGCAATTAGCCAGTGACACCAAGGGCCTACCTTCCCTCCTTGGCATACTGTAAGTCAAGAGGCACATTCTGCCTGCTCCTCGAAGTGTAGGCTGAAGTGCTGGGGCCTGGGAACCACAGGGATGCTGGCATTTTAAATGTGTAGCTGCTCAGCCCAGATGTCAGCAAAAGGAATTTCACTCTGTACAATACAGGCTGAGTTCAAAGGAAGACCCTTTTTTCCCAGTACCAGGGTTAAAACTCAGGGCCTTATCTTGCTTGGCTTGCTTGCTTAGCCTGCTTGCTCGACTGGTGCTCTTACCACTTAAGAACCACAATTCTAGTGTGTGTCTCCCTACCCCCCCCACCCCCCTCCCTCGCCCCCTATTCAGTTGGAGATCGAATCTCATGGACTTTTCAGACTGGACTTGCTTCAAACCCAATCCTTCAGATCAGGCTCAATCTTCTGAGTAACTGGGATATAGGAATGAACCATTAGGTCCCAGCTTAAGAGACTTTTTTTTTTTTTTTTGAAGCTTGAGTACTGTGTTTCCCAGTCCCTTCTCCATGCCTAGCTGTTCCTGGCCCCACATGGTTAACAGCTTTGTCACAGGACTGGCTCACCTCCTTGTGAGAGTCTTTGTGGGCTTCTAGCGTCTTCATGATCGTCAGTTCCGCATAGTTTTTAAATCTTGCTGGCTGGTTTCTAAGAATTTCCCGTAAAACTCTCAGTGCCAGCGCTCGAATTGAATGCTAGATATAAAAGAAAAGGAAGCCTTACTGAACAATAAACAGAACATAGTCACATGTACTGGTTAGTGGGTCCCCAAGGCCATGGTACCCGATTCTGAGTCCCCTGACACATCACAAAACCCTCTACATAGATTGCATGGTTTATTTGACACAGGCTCTCTGGATAGCCAATTCCAAGGGGAGCAAGTGCTCTGATTGATGGTGACATTCTCAGGACCCAGGACCTAGGAGGGACCCACAAAAGCTTCTTGAATGTGCCTAATACTTGTGAGCAGGATGTACCTAAGTTCATTATCAGTCTCATGGGATTGTAGATGTCCTGAGGCTTAGGTATAACAAGTTATCCTCTGTTAAATACACTCAAGGACAAGTTGCAACCATCCAACAATTTCATGGACCTGGCTTGCAAGGCCACAACTGAGGACAGCTGGTGACCTGTGGCTATACCCGATCTTTGTGATGAGATCACAGATGTGACAGGCTTTGAGTTGTTTAAGGCCCAAGTCATGTGCCTGGAGGAAAGCCATGCCAAACAGACTCCTAATCTCAAGAAAAGATAGTGGAGTTTACACTAAACAGAGCCAAGAAGTATATCCTGATTCTTTGTCACTCATCTGTACAATGTGCACACTAATACAGGACTCACCTGCCCTGTAAGTGACATCATTTATCTCCCCATAGAGCCCAGCCAAGTGTAACTGCTTCCATAGCCAGTACTTTGTTTTAGGAAAAGTTAATACAGATCTTTTATTGCTATCCTTCTGTCTTTACTTATCCCTAAACCAAACCCTTAATCCTAAATATCAGGAAACAATTCCAGTTACCATGGCATTCACTGCCCTCTCTTTCCCCACCTGCCTTGGGAGTCACTACCACTGTGACCCTCGGGCTGGCCTGTTCCTGTGCACTGTGTTTAGTCTCCTGGCTCTCCTTCAAGTCCAAGCCCTCTAGCTCTTCACCATGTATACTTTATTATTGTTTCTACCAGCCCAGGCAAAGTAAATGTGGAGAGAAGGATTATCACTTTTAAATTTTAATTCTGTAATTCCCAAGTTTTATTCCAGGTTCCTTCTATACAAGGAACCAGTTCTACAGGCGAGAGAAGGCAGGACTTTGACTAGTTCATTCTCCCTTTAAGAGATACCTAAGTGTACATGTATATGACATGGACTTGTGTCACAGTCAAATGTCCAAGCATGAGGAGTATTTTATTTTAAAGTTAATATTACATGAGTTATACTGGTGGCACTTGTCACTTGTCCAGCAATTAGGATTACTGGATCTGTTAACACACATAGGGGTGAACCAGGATGGACTTCCATGGACTGCAACATTTAATAAAGCCTCTAAGAAAATAAACTTGATTTCTCAACCTCCTATGAAACAAAGGTGAAATTCAAAGAAGAACGTGTACGCTAATAGGCTACATTAGAAAGCTAATGAAATTCTAAGAAATTCTGTATTAAAATCCCTGGATGCAAGAAGCAGTTTTCCCTCAACTACCACGGACCTAGCTGCAGAGATCTTGCACGTAGGCTAGCACACAGTGAGTCACTGAGAAACAATACCCAATAGGTGCTCAGAGACCCTGTGGAAACTGAACAAATACATGTTTTTTGATGTGAGCCGCAAGTGTAATCCACAAAGGAAAGTTGAAGCTAACCCCAACCAGAAAGAACCCGCTCTATGGAAAGGGGTCATTCTAGACCCAGCCAGTGCCTACGTCTTTGTCCCCAAGTGTCTCCAGAAGCAGCAGCAGGATGGTCTTGAAGTGCTCCTCCCAGACGCCCAGGCTGTCCTCTCGTGTGATCTTGAGCAGCTCCAGCAGGGCACCTTTCCGCTCCTCCACCCGTTCGTTGTGGTTAGACAGCTCTTTCAGCAGGTCAGCCACCAGATCAGAGTGATCGATGGGCACTGGTGAGACATACGAGACATCACCTCACAAGGAAACAGCAGTCACACAGCTCTTGCACCTGCCACTCCACGCCCCCTGCTCCCCAGCTCCAGCTAACACCCAGCAGAACTCCTCACCAAGTCAGTGTGGAAACAGAGAATCAGACCAGCTGTCAAGCACTGGTATTCTGTGCTGTGCTTGTTCCTACCATCTTTACCTTTCTATTTCAGACAAAGAGGAGAGATTTGTAGGTGCCCTCCAAAAGCCCTCCCTGACTTTTTATCCAAACTTTTTCCATTGTCACTAGGCCTTAGCAGAACACAGGTGTCTTCCAGAAAAGCCCTTTATGACCATCTTTTCCCAAACTTTCTATGGCAGGCCTCGGTAACAAAGACTAACTCTAGTATCAGTCCCATTCCAGTGAGCACATTTGCTCACAGCCCTTTACTATCACCCCTGACTTTTAAGTCCTGTTCTGATGACCAAGCTTATGATCCAGCAGAGGAAACAAGCACCAGTAAAGGTGTGTGAATTATTCAGGGATGAAACTGGAAAACGTGCCCAAGATTACTTAGCACCACTTTGAGCAGCTGGAAGACACTTTGTTTCTCTAAGTTCACATAAGACCTGGACTGAATATGCAACTTTAAACAGAAGGGATGAAACACAAATGAGATAACTAAGTGCAATCATGCAATCATGTCTTTCTTTAGTTTCTTCTGAGATTAGGGAGTAAACATACCAGGAAGCTGGAAATGTCAGAGCCCTGCCATTTGCCTCTGTCTTCCCGCCTTTCTCCTTAAGCCTTTCAGTACATAGTTGGTGGATAAATTGTAACCGACACTCTAAACTTTATTTGACCTTAATCAAGATCAATAATTGGGTAAGTAAATGAGGTACTAATTCCATAAGCAAAGTGAACAAAATGGTCTATGTCTCGCTTCTGCATAGGAACAAGATGTCTAGGCATATGTGGAGCTGTTATGCACCAGGGGATTATATTGGCAAAGCCCTGGCCACTTCTGCTTTGGATAACTGGAGGACTGCTCTTCCTCCTCAGCATTCCACATGAGTAGTCCCTTTTGAAACTCAGTGCTGACCCTAGTGTCTTCCTTATGAGTATGTTATCCAACAAGTATGGGACCAGGGACTGTGTCTCATTTCCTCCTGGATGTGAATTGTTTAGAGTTCTAATTCAGTGTATTCTTCAAGCTTGAAAAACAAAACAATAGGCTCGGAAACAAAGCAGGCTTTGTTTCACTAGAAACTTGAAATAAAACAAGGCAAGTAAACATGACAAGCTAAGTGAAAAGTACAAAATTACACACTGGATACTTAATATTGCACACTTAAAAAAAATGGTGCTGGAGGTTGAACCTAAGGCCTCAAACTAGTTAAGCTAGCTACTCTACCACTGAGCAACATTCACTTCTAATCCCTGGATATTAACCTTCACCTGTAAGTCAGAGAAAACCCAGACCAATGTTATAGTTTGGGCAAATAATTTATCCTTTTTGAAACTCAGTTTCTTGATCTGTAAAATGAGGCCAATTCCTTCTATCTCAGTGAGATAATGGAGAGAGGACTCTTAACTGAGCACCAAGCAAGTGTCAGGTAAACAATGACGCCAGCTTTTTTTTCTTCCCGCTCGCGGTACTGAAGTTAGCCCGGAATGGCCCAGGAAAACCTAGCTAACAGGCTGCTGCGAGACCAAAGCAGCCTCACAGGCAAGACCTCATGCTCACGACTGAGGAAGCTAGGGAAGCACAGGCTGGTGTCTTTAAGACAGGTAGAGGAGTTAGGCACCAGTGGCTCACCCCTGTAATCCTCGCTACTCAGGAAGCCAAAGCCTGAGAGTCACAGTTCAAAGCCTGCCCGTGCAAGAGGTTCATGAGACTTTCATATAATTCCAATTAATCACCAGAAAGTTGGAGTGGAGTTGAGGCTCAAAGTGGTAGAGCACTAGTCTTGAGCAAAAAAAGCTCAGAGACAGTGCCTTGGCCCTGAGTTCAAGCCCCACAGCCAACAAGACAAGAAAAAGAGAAGTAGAGGATGCCCCTCTCTCGTGCTACACCCCTGGGTCAACTACTCCACTCAGGAGAGGTCTCCCTGATGCCAGGTCTGTGGGGCTAGGGGCTGCCTAAGCTTAAGCATACAACAGACTGTTCTGAACAAATGGCTAACCAGAACAGACTCAAGTGTTCCTATTTATGTTTGACCAATGCACCTACGGCTCATCTGACTGGGGATGGGAAGATCATGGAAGGCACTTCTGGGAGAGGACAATCAAGTAGAGACAAACCATCACGAAGCTGCTCCATGTCATCATCAAACACTGCCTCTTTCAGGGCTGTCTTGTCGTATGTGTTGATAGTGTCTGAGTAGGGATAGGGGTTGTAGTCCCGAGCACGTGGTCCGGGGAAGGCTCGAGGAGGCTGGGTGTTGAGGAGAGAGGTCTTGTTGTCCAGAGCTGTCCTGCCTCCTTCCACTTCACTACTTCCCCGGCCCTCAGTGGCAGGGGAGGCTGCTCCTCCATCGCGGGACACCTGCAGCACAGCACACCACATCAGTTCCTTGCTGGGACTTGCACCACACTTTTTCTTTTAAATCTCACAAAAAATGAGGAGGACCAGAGATTTTCATTTGAAACCTAACTACTGGCAAAAGAACATCTACTGATATTTCAATTTGTAAATATCAAATTCATGAACTGCCAAAAAGGGAACAGACATTTATATCTAATCACCCATCCATTTACACATAAAATCTGCTTTACTTTGTCATTTGGTGATTCACCATACTCAACCATTTTCTGAGGGCTAAATACTATGACACTGAAGAGTCTCTTTGGAAAGGAGGGCTGGGCCACAACTTCTGGTTCTTAAGACTCCAGCTGTGGACCACTACACTGGCCTGTGAGCCCAATGTCACCAGCAAGGACTCCCTCCTGAAGCCATGTCTACTGAGAGAAGCTCCCCAACTGCTATAAGACTAAAGTGATCTAACCACCCCCAAACCAGTTACCTCCTAGTGGGGTTAACTAGACATCACTTCATTATCTTTAACAGTGGGATACTCAGTTTCTTCCAGACAGAAATCATTCTTTCCTTCTTTGGATATTTATGACTCAATGTCAAAGAACAATAAATCTTTGGTATTTTCTGAGTTTTGTTTTTTCCCTATGTACATCCTGACAACTGTCTTCAATGATTAAAGTCATGGTTCTTTGATGGCCCTATGGCCATGGTTTTGAGCCCTTTGCTCTCAGAGTTCTCTCCTCTAGGAGCATCTGCTGCAGGGTGGCACTTATAAAGAGCTGACAATAAGCAGTTTGACTAGAGACAGCAGTGGAAACATTCCCACATAGCCAGACCACATTGGTGATTCTGTGGCCAGACTTTACTTGTGCTATTAACAAGATACAACTGTCTTATGATGTGTTAATGCATTTAGCTGTTGGCAAAATACATATATCATTGCAACCATTCGTAAGTATTCAATTCAGTGACACTATAAATATATTCACAGTGCTATGTAACTAACCATCACTACTGATGAATATTGCAAACTTGTTTATCACCTTCCATAAGAATTCCATCTCTATTCCAATAAATAACAACTCCCCTTTCCTCTCCACCTCCCCCAGGAGACTTTGTCTCTATGAATTTGTCTATGTGAGATACCACACACAAAGGAAATTAGAAAATATTTGCCCTTTTGTGATTAGTTTATTTATAGATGTTTTTAACAGGCACCTAAGTCATAGCATATATCAGATTTCGTGTGTGTGTGTGTGTGTGTTTTCGGTCTTTCACAGATTTTAGGGCTTGAAACTCAGGGCCTAGGCACTCACTGTCCCTTAGCTTTTTCACTCAAGTCTGGCACTCTACTACTTGAGTCACACCTCTACTTACAGCTTTTTGCTGGTTAATTGGAGATAAAGAGTTTCTTAGACTTTTCAGTTCAGGCTGGCTTTCAGCCACCTGAATAGCTAGGATTACAGGCACGAGCCAGTAGTGTCTGACTTCAGCTCTTCTTACTGTAATCTATGTGTATCACATGGTACATCCATGCATCTGTGGATGGGCATTTGGGTCATGTCCACTTTTTGGCTACTGTGAACAAATAATGTTGCTGTGAATAACGGCATACAAAAAACTGTTTGAACCCCTGGCTTTAGTTGTTTTGAAAGGGCTGGAATGCATAGTTTTTAACCCCAAATACAATTTGATATTAAGATATAAATAGAATATATGCATATATCTGCATAAATTGGTATAAATAATATCTTAATGACTGTTTCCTCTGAGTAGAAAATTAATGGATAGACATAACTTTTTTTGGCAATTCCTAAAAAGTACATTACTATTTAAACATTATAGCAATAGTAGCATATCTTACTATTATATAAGAAAACCATTTATAAAAGAATGGGTTTAAAAAACTTGTATCAGCTGGGTGCCAGTGGCTCACGCCTATAATCCTAGCTACTTAGGAGGCTGAGATCTGAGGATCACAGTTCAAAGCCAGCCCAGGCAGGAAAGTCTGTGAGACTCTTATCTCCAATGAACCACCAGAAAACCAGAAGTGGTGCTGTGGCTCAAGTGGTAGAGCACTAGCCTTGAGCTGGAGAGCTGAGAGACAGCGCCCAGGCCCAGAGTTCAGGCCCCTCTACTGAAAAAAAAAAGGAAAGAAAAAGAAAAAGAAATGTAGTCATTACCCTAGTTATATATATATAACTGTAACCCTCCTGGTTCATTACTTTTACGATAAAGATCATCTCTCTCTTTTACATATATATATATATGAAAAATTATAAAGCACCTAAACATTTCAAAGTAAGATACTAGATGTGTCTAGAGTAAGTATATAGGATGAATTATGGTGTAAGAAAGATTCACAAATAATAGATATTAGTAGTTGCTGTCTCTAGAGATAGTGATTTATTTCCCCTTGCTAAGTTTCACACTCTACATATATAATTGGATCAAGTAATCCTGTGTGCATCTATCTTCTAAGGTTTCTACTGTTCTTGGTAGGACTTTCGTTTCCCCAGTCACCTCCGTTCCTTTAGGGGCTGTGGAAACCTGTCTCTGTGTTTCTCCCTTCCCTTCCTTTCCCTCTCCCTTCCACTCCTGAGACAATTTCCATAGCCTCTTCCACTGTCCAGAAAGCAGGAGTCACAGTGACAACGATGCATACCCATTCCTTCCTCTAAACCTACCCACCCTCTTTCCCGGCTAAGGCCACTTGCTCCTCCAGACTCACTGTTCCTGTCCCCATATACCAAAGGATCTGTGTCTATCAGTCATCACTCTCTTCCACTATAGGGACACCAGTCAGGCTTCTTCCAGCTGAAAGTCCTATGAGTGACTCTCATCATCCTATCATCATCATTTCATCATCCTATGAGTGACTCTTGAACTGTTAGTCTAGTCATTCTTCAATCTACTGGAACCTGTTTTCATTTCTTGCACTAAACTATGATCCCAAAGCCAATGGATTCCTGGAAGGAACCAAATTTGGAAAATTATAGATTGTACACATTATTTAAGAAGAAAAACATGAAAGCCCAAACAGTGGGCTTGATTCTACATCAAAATACTTCCAAGTAACAGAAAGACTTGCAGAAAACCATATTAAGTGGAGTAAGCCAGACCCAAAGAAAGATAGATTCCATGTTTTCCCTCATTTGTTTTTTTTTTTTTGGTCAGTCGTGGGGCTTGAACTCTGGGCCTGAGCGCTGTCCCTCAGATCTTCAGCTCAAGGCTAGTGCTCTACCACTTGAGCCACAGCGCCACTTCTGGTTTTCTGGTGGTTTATTGGAGATAAGAGTTTCATGGACTTTCCTGCCCGGGCTGGCTTTGAACTGTGATCCTCAGATCTCTGCCTCCTGAGTAGCTAGGATTACAGGCGTGAGCCACCCACACCTGGCCTTTCCCTCATTTGTAATAATTAGTATATGTCTAGGATAGTCCTAGCAGATGAGCAGAATAGCTCAATAGCTATGACTATGTATACGAGATGCTCAACAAAATGAACTCTAAGACATGGAAACAAGAGGTTTTTCTTTGTTGCTGGTGTTTTAAACATACTATGTGATTTCTGTTTTCTTTTGTGTTTTTTTCCCCTATAGTTTAGCTTCTGTTGTCACTGTATTTGATTTTGGTGCCCTGGGTATGGTATATACATTTATCTGAATTAGGGATGGGAAACAACGAAATGGTGACAAAGGACAAAGGGTGAACCAAGACAACAGTGATACTCACAAGACAGTATGTTGGAAATTAATTGTACAACTTAGTGGGGGGTGGGAGAGGGAACGTGGTAGAAAAGTGAGGGAGGGGGTAACAAGTTCAACAAGAAATGTACTCACTACCGTATGTACGTAACTGTAACCCCTCTGTATATCACTTTGACAATAAAATTAAATTAAAAAATACTTCCAAGTAAATGTGTATTTCTATAATTTAGGTTAACAGAATATTTAGTGCAGACAGTAAAAGAGTCAATCAAGCAAATGAACAAATTGCTAATGGAGCCCTTCATTCTACTTCTAGCCTGGAGTGTTCTTGCTAAGAAAGTTTCCCTTAGCTTCTGTGACCCCACACTCGTCTCCAGCTGTGGTCCTGCCTTGGTGCTGCTACCCCCTCAGGACTCTATCCTACCCTGTCCTGTGCCTGGAGATTTCATTCACTCACTCTCCATTTTTTTAACCAGGAAGCCATTCCTTAATGTCTCTCAGATCTAAGTGGCCTCAGTCACTGTCTTCAGCTCCAGCTTGGCAACTCCAAAGACACATGTTCACAGTTAAATCCATCATCATATACTTTCTCCTTTCAAGAAACTATTTCACTGAATTGAGTCAGACCAAGTTCCATATCCCAGAAGACTTCAAACTCTTCTGTATCTGCTCATGTTTTCTAAAATTCCATTTCCTACAAAGTTTGTTACTTCCCTACTTAAAAATCTTTCAGACTCTACTGTCCTGGGATAAAGCCAAGTGTGGGCTAGGTACCTTTCCTGAGCTGGTCTCTAGAAGTTGCTCTTGAACCTCAACATCAACAAGATTCACTCATTCTCTTTAACATATCTGATTCGCTCCATGTATTGTTATGTCTAGTAACTCAAAAGATAATTAGCTTCCCTGCTTTGGTCTTCTAATAGGACCTACTCTTCAGAACCTAGGTCAAAAGATAGCATCAACTCTCCAGCCCATCCTTCCTGAGCACCATAGTGGCTGTCAGGGCCCTGTATGCACAGCCCTGGCTACAACCACTGCACCATCCTGTGTATTTGCTGCCTCTCCCATAAGACTGCAGCTCCTGGAGAGGCCAACCTGATGGTTGGTTCAGGCTTACCATTTATCACATCACAGAAACAAAAATATATTTAGCATAAATGAAAGCAGGCCGAGGGTTACACTTTCAAAATCTGTCAAGGAAATGGCGCTGTAGCTCAAGTGGTAGAGTGCTCGCTTTGAGCTGAAGAGCTGAGGGACAGCGCTCAAGCCCAGGGTTCAAGCCCCATGACCGACAAAAACATAAAATAAAAACAAAAATTGTCATCAAAGTCTGTCAAATTGCCTTGGGACTCAAAAAAAAATACAATTATATAAGTACAGGATAAAATGTACCATCCCCAGAGCAGACAGATTCAGAAGACTTAGAAACTATCATTTATTTGACACTCAGTTCTTTGTTAGCCTGAGAATACTTACAATATCACAGTCCTTTTTGCTATCTCGCTTAATTGGTTCATTCAGATCCTCTTGACTTCGGAAACTAAACTTTTCAATGGCTTCTGTAACTCCTCGCAGAGAACTGTAGATTTCTTCAGAGTTCAGGTTCTCTGTATCATAGTCCAGCATGCTAAAGATCAAAAACATTTTATTTCTTAAATTGAGGTATCTACATAAAATTGAGATATGGCCATTAACTATTTAGTAATTTACAGAATAAGGTATCATTATACTTTTGTTTCTTTAGGTGATCTGGAATGAAAAGCAGAAATCTTTTGTTACAGCATTGGATACTTACACAGCTTCCTTGTCAAATCTGGCCTTAAACATATTACATCAGCAATCAAGAACTAGTGGAAACAACAATAACCACAAGAATGTGAGAACTCAAAGAGTGACATTGGTGACTGAATGTACGAGGTGATGAAAGTGGAAAGTAATTTCCTTATTTTAATGATGGAAAAAAAGTAGTTTGGTTGTTACTGGTCCCAAATGTACAAACTTAAGAGGAAAAGGTTTTTGGAAATACAGCAAAGTATTACAAACACACTTTAGAGCAAAGAAAGAAACTTCACAAGATAGGGTTTGCCAGAATCTAATCCAGAAAATGAGAAAGAACCTATTTTTAAAAACCAAAGCAAAGTGACACTGTGACTCAAAGCCATATCCATGCCACTAAAGTCCTGAGTCTAACCTACGAACTTGTCATGGATATTAGACTCTTCTAGATGATTCCATTTCATGTAGTAAAATAAAAACAGATCTTAAAAGCACAGATCTTTAAAGATGAGATCTATATTCCTGGATGAATATCTTAAAAGAAATATTTTCCCTTATGGAAAAGTGATGTCAATTGTCATTTGAGACACTGGATATAGCAAAACATGAAGTGAATCAAATATGTTAAAGACAAAAGCCTTTTGGTATAATGCAGTATATCAGGAAGTGTCCATTAGATGTCTAAAAAGTACACCGAAACAGAAAGGATTCTGGGAGCAAAAGCTATACCTGTCCCTTAACACACAGCAAAGCACAGGATGGACATACTACTACAAAGAAAGCAAAACACGATATAACAGTCAACCAAGGAGACGTAATAAAAAAATTAAATATCACTTTTTTTAAGTATTCAAGAAAATATCTTATGAGTTAGTCTAATGTAACTTGCAGGAAGTCCTGAGCTATACTGAGAATTGCTAGGTACATCCCAAAACACCAATGGCTGTTTACAGAGATAAATCAATCTTTCTGTTAATTACAAGAAACCTACTGGCAACGATCTTTCTTAATTGCAATAACACAATTAATCTTGTGCAATGTACAAGAAGTCTCTCACAATTAAGATTAATTTATTAAGTTCTTTCCTTCTCTTGAAAAAAGACATATTTAAGCTGGGAACTAGTGGCTCATGGTTTAAAGCCAGCCCAGGAAGGAAAACCAGTAGTAGAGCTGCAGTTCAAGTGGCAGATGACTAGCCTTAATCTAAAAAGCTCAAGGACAACGCCCAGACCCTAAGGTCAAGCCTCAGAACAGCACATGTGTACGTGTGTGCCTATGCACACACATAAACACACATACACACAAACACACACACACATTTAAAGAGGTATCACTTGGAATGGTGGGATCTTTGTTATCTGAAGGTACAATGGTCTAGGTGTCTTCAAGAGCTGGTTAGGCTCTGCAGGAACACAAGACAAACTTATTCAGAATGAAAGCTACTCGTCTAAAACTGCTCAACTAGCCCAGGCATAGCTACCTTTTAAAATACAATCCAGGAAGGGGGGCAGACATGCCCTAACTGTATGTGAAAAGTTCACAGAAATATGTGCCAACTCAAATACTGGCTCTGGCACCCAATGAAAAGGAATGTGAACCTTGAACATGTCTGCAGCTGAAATCCCATTTATACAACAACAGGATGAGGAGTAAGGAACTGAAGTGGAACTCAAGATTTCCTTCTGTTCTGAGTTTATAGGCAACACCCCAGATATGCAGTAAGTACATCTAAGGGGCAAAGATGCTCCCACCTCTTTCCTAGGAACTCTGTAATACCAGCATATGTATGGAAAAAGGCATTTATACATCTGGGCAGTACACTGATTTTATATACAAAGATTGAGTATTGACTCAAACAAAAAAAGAGATAAATATACAAGATGTAAAAAAGGCCTTAAAATGCTTTTAATCACAACCACCAAAAATAACAGCATACCCCATGCAAAAGTAAAAAACAAAACAAAACAACTGAAAGAATGATGAATGGACAAGAGGCAGTCTGGCAGACGTTGAGTTTTTTAAGGGATGTCACAATATTACGTTCCATGTGTCGCTTTAGAGAATCTTGGCTTTCATCTCACGATTCTCAATCTCAACTTCCTTGAAATAGTTCATTTCAGTTCAATTAACTTGACCATCCAATAGCCTCTTTTGAAGATAATAAAGAATCCTGCCAGTTCAGGAGCAGTGTGCATGCAAGTACAATGTGAGGCGATAATCCTTTTGGACTCCTCCTTTTAGGTCTCAAGTAAAGTGTCCCATTGGTATGAAGCTGAAATTGTGAGCTCCAGGTGGGACATAAGCACTGTCCTCTGCTAGGAAATAAGGTTACTCTTTTGTTTGAATATGTTGGCTTCAGTTATCTTTTTTCAAATCAATAATTCTGAGCCCTTACTGCTTAGGGCAAAGGAGTTTCCCATGAAGTTATCATTGGATAGTATGCCTCTGCATCTTGGGGAACAGTACAGAGGAAGCAGCCAGGAGGCCCTAAAAGCTGGCTGAGAAGAGTCTTTGCTAGACAAACCTTATCTGGCACCTGTACCACAACCACAGTCTGTTATTTCAAATTCGAAGACAATCCCCTGGCATAATCCTCTGGGTTAAAGGCCATGTCCTGATCACTTGTAAACACTGTGAGTAGACACCCAAAGGGCTTCCTTGGGGTTCTTTAGATTAGGAAAAGTTACCCAATCAGCAACAGTCATGATCTATGATCAGGCTATGCCAGCCAATGCAGCTCTACCGAGGACCATGTAGTGATGAGAAGAGCTTGGAGTCAGATCACTAAGAAAAAAAGCATCAGGGAAAAAAATAAGTCTGCTGCCTGAGGCTTTTCTCTTTGTTATTTTGGAGGATAAGGAGTCTAGTAGCAGAAGAGGAGAATGTCATGTTGGGAAATCAACAGGGTTTTGGCTGACAGCAATGAGATGGGCAGTCTCTAGTCAGCACCTCCTCCCTCTGATGCCTGTAGAAGTATGAGTAATGTTAGCCACTAGTGAGTTGGGGAAACACTGGTTATTGAGTACTTTGGGAAAGATGATCCTAGGTCTGGGATGTTTTTTGGGGAAGCAGTCCTGAGAGGTGGCTGGAACACTAGCAGGGGTGAGACTCCATGTGTGTTAAGGCATCCAACATGACATATTGGGAAACTATTAATTAACTGATCTACACACAGAGGCATAACTAGAGAAAGAAAAAAATAAAAGGCAGTGATGTATTTTGTTAACTTTAATGAAGATAGCAGCATTCTTCTTGCCACCTTGCCTAACTGCGTATTTACAAACATTCATCACAGGATTCTCTGTATACTTCAGAAGCTACTTTCAGAGCTTGAAAAGAAAGGAGTTAACACATGCAGGTGTTTATTCTGTTCAGCTTTGGTATGCTGAGAATACAAAAGTAGGCATGTAACTCTGCAGAAGCTGTCTGTGGTTACAGAGTACTTCTTTTCTTTTTGGACCCACACATACTCTATCAGAGAACTGGTTACGAACTCCTTTGCAAAGCAAGACAGCTGAATTGTTCCATGCGCTAGTCACGTGACAACGAGCTTCTAGGGATGGCATCCTCTCATCTCTGGACTTTCACAAAACCGTCTCAGAGACCTTACACAGGTAGGGTCTGGAGTACTACGTGGTATCCTTGCAGCACCACAGACACCATGTTTGCTTTAACACCCAAGGGAAGCTCACCTTGTTCAAGACATTTTTTTTCAATCCCTGGGCCTGAACTCAGGGCTTGCCATACCTCCACTTCTGGATTTTTGGTGGTTAATTGGAAATAATTGTCTTACAGATTTTCTGCCCAGGCTGGCTTTGAACCACAATCCATAGATCTCAGCCTCTTGAGTACCTAGGATTACAGGCATGAGCCACTGGCACCCAGCTTCCTTCTAGACTCTAAAATGTTCATAGCCAAGCAGAGCCAGCAGCTTCCCCAATACCCACAGCAGGACATTGAGAAGGCCTGCCCACTCTTCTGTCTAGAAGTATGTATGCTCAGACTATCACTATGAGACATGTCCCAGTAGACACCTCAGGACTGACAGTTACACAAGCAGCCCCAGGAAGGGCAGGTCTATGTACTTGTTAGAATACTGTCTGCACCTAAGAAGCAGCTGGAAGAAGTTCCTCCCACTACTGCTTCCCTTGATGTAACCAATTTCCTGAGCTTCTTCTGGGGGCTGAGCATTGCTCTAGCCAAAAGACTCGAGTAGATGGTAACAGATCTGGTCACAGTCCCCGAGATATGCCAGTAACCATACTCCTGTGTACTGTGCACACTTTTCAGCCAGGATCCACTTCCGTGAGGCTAAGTGGAGGCAATGACTACACTGGAGGAGCTCAGAGGCTTTCCAAAAGACCCGAGACGACCTTGGAAAAGTAGTAATATTGTGACACCTCTGACAAGTTTAACAGGTAGCTTGTTACCTGGGAGAGTAAGAGCGCCTGAGAGTCTTGTGGGAGGGAGCGGTGGGAATGGAGTTAGGCTGAGAAAAGGGAGGTGGGTGCTTCGATAGCCCATCGGCACTCCAACCCCACAACCGACTGCAGTGATCAGAAGAGGAAAATCAGAGAAAGAAACACAGAGGCAAAGGGGAGGGGAAGAGGAAGATGCTACACCATAAGTGTCTTAGAGTCTCCTCTTTCCTGACTAAGTTCTATCATAAGTAAATGGGGCAAAATTAATACTTCATCATACAGAGTAAAAGGACAAATTTTGTTTTACAATTTGGTTCTCATTCAATTATGAGTTTACCGCTTAAAAGTCATGTGAGATTCCCAGTCGGTGTATGTGAATTTGTGTACCTGAGTATGGGTATCTATCTGCCTGTCAAGAGTTGGGAAGCAAGTTATAAGGACTTGTAATAAATATGGACTCTCAGTTTTAGATAACTCAGTTCTTTCAGGAAAGAAAAAAAAAAGGGGAAGAATTATGGGGCATCAATTCAAATGGGACCAAAGGGACTAAACAGGGAGATTCAGAGACCACACTATTCTGACAACAAACTCTAATGAGAGACAAAATGCTTTTGAATTTGGGATCCAATCAGACAGAGTTCAGAGAATTAATATTCTTCTCAAAGAATATCAATACTGCTGGAGGGGTGGAGGAGGGCATTAAGTCTCAGTTGGCCAGCTCAAACGGAAAAAAAATAGCAACAACAAAAAAAAATGCACTATACTTCTCTGCTTGGATCTCCTCTTGATAGGAGAATAAAATGCACTTGGGAATACAGGTGTCTGTCAGGTGTCTGTGTGCACTTCACAATGTTACTAGCTGACTTGGGCTCGCAGAACCCCTTGGGAAAGTTCTAACTTTTGTTGCAATTAAAAAAGATGGAGCAAGAACCTGGAGAGTCCACAGCAGCCCTGCCTGCCACTAGCACAGTTCTTACAGCAGGAGCCCTGCATTCTAGCTTCCCCCTGAACACTGGTATGGCCCCATTTCATAAGGGAAACAAGATATGGAATTGAGAAATATTGTGCTATGGAGGGTCTGAAGACCGTCTTCCATTGCTCTACTGTGATGGGTTCAGGGATACAAGAACATAGTGATACTTTACATGGGGGAACCTTCTGGTGGTCTGATATCCCACCTATGAATGTGGGTCCTGTTAACCCCCCAGCCTTGATTCTAAGAATGTTCTTGATCCTTTGGGAGGAGAAATGAAAAACTACCTACAATACCTTTACTAGAGGACCAAAGGTGACCTGTGCAGTGCCATTCTGCTACATGGTTCACATGCCCAGAACATACTGCAGACTGGACATGACTGTGGAATTCCTTTGCAAGTGCAATTCCATTGCTCACTTACCATAAAATCAATCACACAGGGTAAAATGAGCTACAATATAAACATGTGTTAACAACGAAAAACTCTACTTCATAAATCTTTACTCAAATCCAAGTAGTAACTGTTTATCAGTTGTTGTTAACAGGCATTCTTCCCTGTGGAATATTTCACAAAGTTTAACCATTTACTGATGGTGTTTTACATACTATTGCATTGACAGGAGAAGTCCTTACTAGTGAAATTTAAAATGATCAAAGTTGTTTGCCATTTTGGTTTTTTTTGCCGGTTGTGGGGGCCTGAACTCTGGGCCTGGGTGCTGTCCCTCAGCTCTTCAGCTCAAGGCTAGCGCTCTACCACTTGAGCCATAGTGCCACTTCCGGCTTTTTCTGCTTATGTGGTGCTGAGGAATCGAACCCAGGGCCTCATGCATGCAAGGCAAGCGCTCTACCACTGAGCCACCTTCCCAGCCCCTGTTTGCCATTTTGGAACACTTCCTGTCACTTCCATGAACCAAGTGGAGAATTTGTGAGTAAAAAACTAAACAAAACACTCTAGCTCATTTTGATACTCAGAATCGGATGAAAAATAAGTTAAAAAATGGTCCTAAGCTTTCCTCTTTCTTCCAAATAAAAAGCTAATACCATAGGGTCAAGATGATTTAAAAACAACTGCTCAGAAAATGCCTTGTGCTGTGAGCTGTTTAATATCTCCTTAGAAGAGGGCAATGTAGTCAATTCTCCTCCCTAAGGTAAGAAGCTATTTCTTTTACAGTTTTTCTATTCAAAAGCAAACAGTTGTTGGAATGCTTCCCAATGATGTGGTTGTTGCTTATTTTCACCAGGAAACAATTTCTCCTGTTGAGCTCATGTTGGCTCAGATCATCTGATTATTTAAGCAATATAGAGAGGCTTTCTTTCTTAACTATGTTAACTAAATAATTCTCTAAGGAAGAATTTATCCACAAGAAAATATGTGGACTTAATACTGAAAAAATTAATCTCTTTAATTCTTCTACAGATATGTAATCCTAAGAGTTAAAGGTAAAGATCAGAGCTGGGCACTGGTGACTTATACCTGTAATCCTAGCTACCTAGGCTGAGATCTGAGGATCATGGTTCAAAGCCAGCTTGGGCAGAAAAGTCCCTGTGAGACTCCTATCTCAAGTGGCTCAAGTGATATACTAACTAGCATTGAACACAGAGAGGCTCAGGGACTCATAGACAGTTTCCGGACACTGAGTTCAAGCCCCACAACCAAAAAAAAAAAGAAAAAAAAAAGAAATCTGGGTACAAGTAGCTCATGCCTCAGGAGGCTGATGTCTGAAGATCATAGTTCAAAGCCAGCTCAAACAGCAATGTCCCTGAAACTCTCCAATTAATCACCAAAAAAGTTAGAAGTGGAGATGTGCCTCAAGTAATAATAGAGTGCTAGCCTTAAGCAAAAAAACTCAGGGACAGCTCCCAGGCCCTGAATTCAAGCCCCAGGACTGGCACCAAAAACAAAAAGAAAAAAGGAGTGTGAGACTTCATCTAATTTGAAAAATAAATCTACATTTAAAAGCACTTATGTTTTGATATCTTCCTAGTAAAAGTACATAAATCTAAATAGGGAAATTGTACACCTGAAGTATTTTTGTTGTTTTTTAAGAACTTGATGTCAGTAACCCTCAGAATAAAAAAGGCCCCTGGCTTTTTAAACTCACTGTTAGTGAGTTAATTGTTAATGGCCTGCTTATAGACAAAATACAGCATGAAGGACTCTGAGTTGTCTAAAAAATGCTGCCTAGAAAGCTACTTCTCTGAGTGGGGCCAGATGATGTCACCCTATGTGAAGGAGTCACTAAAGTCACCATCATGCTTCTAATGGCACTGGTAAATGGACAAATGTTATCTAAAGATCTCTAGACAATACACTTTTTCTTTGTGTGTATGTGTGCCTGTCCTGGGGCATGAACTTAGGGCCTGTGCTCTACCTCTGAGCCTCTTTGGCTCAAGGCTATTGCCCAAACACCTAAACCACAGTTCAACTTCCAGCTTTTTTTGGCAGTTTATTGGAAGTAGGAGTCTCATAGACTTTCAGGCCAGGGTTGGCTTTAAACCACAATCCCCTGATCTTAGCTAGGATACAGGTGTGAGCTACTGGCACCTTTCTCTTTCTACAAGCATTTTCTCTTTTGATGCACCACTACCCTAGGTTCTATATAGCCAATGTTCATGATTCCAACATGAATCTGAATATATTGATCAAATTAATACCCAGATTCTAAATCACAGTCTTTCAGAGCAACATTCTGCTTTAAACAGGATGGTAACTCTCTTAGGAATAGCTACTTGGTTGAAAAACCACCCCAGACTTGGTGTGGAGCAATTGACTATTGAAGGTTTTTTAGATGGTTAAGTAAATATCGTCATGTTCTCTTATTTCTTGGAGAACCACCTCATGGGTTCTATGCAAAGCAGTACTAACAGTAAACATTAAGTCTTAATTTTTGTTTTTGTGGGGAGAGGGTCAGTTGTGGTGCTTGAACAAACTCAGGGCCTGGGCACTGTTGCTGAGCCTTTTTGCTCAAGGCTAGCACTCTACCACTTTGAACCACAACTCCACTTCCAATTTGGGGGTAGTTAATTGGAGATAAGAGTCTCACAGATTTTCCTGCCCCGGCTAGATTCAAACTGTGATCCTCAGATCTCAGCCTTCTGAGTATTTAGGATTACAGGTGTGAGCCACCAGCGTCTGGCAATAGTCTAAAATAAAAAAAAAATTCTTTATCCTTTATGTTTAGAGAGGACCTTGTTATATAGCCCAGGCTTGCCTGGAATGTGTCTGTCTGAAGAGCCTGGGTTTGAACTGCAATCCTATCTCTCTGACTTCCAAGTACTGGGATTATAGGCAAATACCAACAAAAGCTTGTTTTAAATTCTGTAAGGTCCTAGAGTATTTGGAGCTAGAAAAACCAAAAAGAACATTCAGTACAAACTTTTCATTTCATCATAACCCCAAGATTATACAATTACAACTGAGTGAGGACTGGAATCGATAGTCCTTTGTTTCTCAGTATCTTTGCTGGTATCATTCTTAGTGTGACAACCTGGAAATAGACTCAGAGACATTGTGTATTTCAGTTTTTTCATGTTGGTGGAAATGAGCTGCTTACCTGGGAGACAGTCCCCCATGGGAACAGTTGGTAGGTGAGGTCAAGGGGCTGGTCCTGCTGCTGGGATGTCGGGAAGGTGTCCTGCCAATGGTATTGCTTGGAGATCCCTGATGCAAAGGCAGAGTAGGCACTATTACCCAGTGGCTTTGTACAGAATACAACTTTATTCTTCCTTTGATCAATTAACCTCCATGTAACCAGAATCTATGCATTATAACATTTTGTTTCTCCCCTCCTCCAACTAGTCATTAGTGTGTGTGTGTGTGTGTGTGTGTGTGTGTGTGTGTGTGTGTGTGTGTGTACACATACATATCAGTACTGGGATTTGAATTTAGAGCCTCAGGCTCCCACCTGGCCTTTTCTGCTCAAGGCTGGTGCTTTATCACTTAAGCCACACCTCTACTTCCAGATTAATAGTGGTTAATTAAAAATAGTGTCTTAAAATTGTCATGGAGGTATTTCTGAAGCTGAATAACTGGTTAGCTGTGCTAGAGGGACAGGCACAACTGAGCATGACATATTTATAGTATTAAAAAAATAAAGACAGTATCAAATGAGTGAGTAATGAAATCATATAGTATACACTGAACTGACTTAACAACCCAACCCAATTTTACTACCCTAAGAAAAAGGCCATATATGAATAGTAAGTTCATTCATTCATGGGCCCGCCCTTGGTATACCCACAAGCTGACCAAGCAAGCAAGCAGTGCCAGTGCTGGGTAAGGGACACAGAGGTGATAACCAACACAGAGACACCAGCTACGGGCAGAGGACTCACCACACTGGTGTTACTGGAGTTCTTGAGGTGGTTATGCAGGAGTTTGGTGGCACCATCCTGGAATGTTTTGGGCAAGGCACCAAGTAACATGGTAAATTCAGGAGTGTTCAATTCAAACAGAGAGATTAGCACAATTTGTGCAGCCTAGAAAAAGAAACCATGATTAATACATTAGCACGTCTTCATAAATGTTCTACTAAGAAAACATTTTGTATACGTAAAATTTAGAGAAAATATCATCAGCCTGACAAATGGCCTGACTTCATCAGGAAAACAAGCCTGGTTCCACTTTACTCCCCTGTTTTGGGTTCCCACAGCACACTAGTAATAAATCCTTGGTTTGTTGGCACAAGGAAGGAAGCTGGTTAACAAAGAAAACAAAAACAAAAACAAAATTCAAAAAGCTTAAGTTAGCTCTAAGTTTTAAGAAGTTAGAACTGGAAAGCCTATGATGTACTCTGCAAAGACACAGTTTCTAAATATGTTTCTTTTGGGTCACCTGAGAAAATTTCTTTTCCTTACCCCATAAAATAAAAGTTGTTCTATAAAATACTGTAAAAAGTTGCTCAACTCTGGATCATGCTTGCAATCCTAGCTACTTAGGAAGCAGAGATCCAGAGGATGGAGGGGAGAGACCAGCCCAAGCAGAAAAGTCCTTGAAACTCCATCCCCAAAATAACCCCCGAAACAAATCAGTGTTGGAAGTGTGGCTCAGAAGAGAGACTGGGGAGGCAAACTGGATACTTAATGGCGTAATTTTAAAACGTCCTCTTCTGCTTTTTAGGAAGCATTTTATATTTCTTTATGAACTAAGACAACATACTTCCGGGCCATTTGTAGTGAGGCGGCAGTTGGGACAGCCGAAACAGAGTAGCCAAGGAAGTCTCCAGTAGGCAACTTCCCTATGGCTCTGGGTTGGCAGTAGGCAGTCGAGCCCAAAAACAACATCCTAGGAATCAACTGCAAAGTTTTAAATTTACAAAAGTTAAGCCCAAAGAAAAGTTCCATAAACACAAATTGGCATTTCTTATTAGCTTCTAAGAGGAAGGAAAAGATTCCAAAAAACTACTTCTGTGAAGTCATCTTTCCTTTGTACTTCAAAGCATAAGTCCTTTCAAAAACTGTAATTTATAAAATTGCAATAATGACTCGGAATATTTTTTCATAACATAGAATATTATAAAAATGTGCTTCCCAAGAATGTTTTTAAAAGTAAACATCACAAAATGTCTCAATGCTTTTTACAATGTTAAGAGTCATGCTAGGTCCAGTTAGGACATAACTACTATTATTATGCATGGAGGAGGAGAAAAACATTCAAAGGCCCAAATTAAAAAATATCGGTAGACTGATGGTCAGTATGGAATCTTAAAAAAATTACTTTTTAAGCATTTCAAAAGCATTCATTAAGGAAAGTATAGGGCAAATATAGTCATTAGCCTTTCCTTACCAATTAAATGACAGAGTCAGTGTACTTCTATGACACTGGAAACAAAATCATTATTGACTGGGCTAATATATACTTTTCAGTATTTCATTATTGAAATCATAAGCTGAAGGAAAATCTATGTCATGACTAATTTAACGTACTGATAGTAAGATTTATGTAACAGAACAAATTCCAAAAATCATGCAAAGAAACTTTAAAAACCATTTCATTAGATGTTAGAAAAACCACATGCAGGAAAAACTACACGACAAGAAGACAGATGAAGACAAGACTCTAGCTATGCTGCCATTTACTAAGAAAGCATATGTGCTAAGGTGCATGTGGATGGTGGATGGAGCATGGCATTTTGAAAATTATAAAACATAATGCAGTGTTCTTAAAACAGTGTACTGATTCTTTTTGTTTGTGAAAGGTGCCATTGTCTTTAAAAGATTTGATTTCTTTCCAGAATGATATATAAAAATAACACTACAAACTAACTGGAAGCTCTTCATGAAGCAAATTATAAAATTAGCAAGATCTTTTAATATGGAGTGTTGCAAGGAAGGCAGACGAAACTGACCCACTAACTTTTAACTTCTCACCCACGAACTAGATTTTTCTCAATAATCCCAATGGTGATTTTAAAATAAGAAATCAGAATGCACAAAATTTGAAACTATAACTAGTTAGACAAATATAGTTGCATGAGTGTATATTTTACATATAAAAATATGATTACTTTTTACATTTTTCAAAATGTTATCAGGCATCGTGATTCATTGGAATCCTAACTACACAAGGCAAAGATTGAGAGGGTTGTGATTCAAGGCTAGAGTAGGGAAAAAATAGCTAGATGCACTGGTACCTGGCTGTCATCCCAGCTACATGGGAAGTAGAAATAGAAGGATCACTGCCCAAACCAGTCCAGGCATACGTACAAGATCCTATCTGAAAAGGAACTAAAGCAAAAACAGGCTAGGGACAGAGCTCAAGTGATAGAGTATCAGTGCAAGGCCTTGAGTTCAACTCAGTATTGCCTATATTCAAGTACATTCCTTTAAAATTTTTTATTTTTTAATTTTATTGTCAAGGTGATGTACAGAGAGGTATCAGTTACATACATAAGGTAATGAGTACATTTCTTGTAGAATAATAAATTGTACGTCAAAGTTTTATAAGGAATGAGACCGTTTTGGCCCTCAAGCATTTTATTTATAGTTTCTGAGTTAGTGAGAAATGAAAATATTAGAATATAAGAATGGAGACATGTAGATTATATCTATCACTACCATCAACATGATCTCATAAAAAGAAATAAGTCTTAGTTAGCTAGGTATGGTGGTTAACATCTGAGTCCCAGGACATAAGAGCCTAAGGCAGGAGGGTTTCAAGTTTGAGGCCATCCTGGGTTACATAGGTTGGAGTTCTAGGGCAGTGTGGGCTACATAGCCAGACCTTGTCTCCAAAGGATAATTCCAGATATGGAGCTGGTTGAAGCATGTATTTATAAAAAGGATGAGGCTCAGTTCATGTTTGAAATGGAGAAAGTCATTGCTTTTGTATGTACCATTGCACTATGGTCTCAAATGGAGGCAGGATCTCTTCTTACAAACAATTCTTGGGTGACCTAAAGTCAATTGGCAGCTTAAAGGGAAATGATTCTCATTCACAACCTTCCAATACAACTTGGCAGTGGATGGAGTGGGATGAAAGGTTCTTCAAGTCTTACTGTGACTATCTGAAGAGAGCTCCTAGAGCCAGCCACTGAATTAAAGGTATAAAAGTTATACACCTTACAACTAGGGAACCTTCTTTGCTTAAGTAACGCTTTGACAAATGCCTCCGTGTTGATATTATATGTGGAATTCTTACTGCTTCCTTTTGAGAGTGTCATTAAAGCTGCTTCACCAAATCACCAAAGACAAGATATCCCCAAATGTTCAGAGTTTCCTATTTCATTAAAATCTGGTGTGGTCTATACTCAACACAATCATTCCAGTGGGAAGGTGGTTAATCATAAAATGTATCATTAATATCAACATTGACACAGGCCCACACACACACTCACACAGAAGTATATTAATTTTCTCCCAAACTTTCCCTGTGTTTTCACAAGGGAAACTGATATTAATCTGAAGTGCAAATGATGAGATATGTTGGTTGAAATTAGTACATAGTTTCCGATCTACCTGTTTACAATTTTCCTCCAAATTTCCTTGTCCAAGCCCAGAGCAGGTGGAAGGTGCCCTAGCAGAGAGGTCCTCCCCTGCTCGACCACGCTGCAGTGCAGACTGGTGAACAGGAAAGGGGAGGACTGCATGTTAACAAGTGTGTCCACTGCTGAGAGAGTATGTGGCTTCTTATATAACACTGATGACATGTAAGCCAAAGTTAGGAACAAGAATAAGCTTGTAACCCAATCATTTGCGAGGTCCTTTATTCAGTAATAATAATCCTTCTGATTATTTCACGTAACGAGGCATCAAGTCAGAGTGAGATTTGAAAAGGAATCATAAGTCATTTGTGATTCAAATCTTCTTTGATGATACAAACCCTAGCTTTTTGATTACCTCTATCTGTAATCAGAAATTGTTTTTAGAAAAGGTAGTAAGTAAAGTGCTGGTGGATTGTCTTTAAAAAACGTAGTAAGTACAGTGCTGGTGGCTCATACCTATCATCACTTAGGAGTCTGAGATCAGGGTGGTTCAAGACTAGCTTGGGCATTAAGAAAAAAGGAAAAAGGCCAAAAGACCCCTTTTCTCAATCTAGAGCTGGACCCAGTGGCATGTACTTATTATCACTATTACAGCAAGTCTAACATATGTGAATCACAGGCTCAGGGCAAACCTACCTCTCTCAAATATATATGTATGAGAGAGAGGTGAGGGGGGAGAGAGAGAGAGAGAGGAAAAAAAAAAGACCCGAAGGCATGGCTCAGTCCTTTTGCCTGCTGTATATAATATATGCAAGGCTCTGAGTTCAAATCCAGTACTGTCCCCACAAGTCATTTAGAAATTTCATTTGTTCATTTATAAATTTTTTGGACTATGATCAACATTTTTATACTTCCTAGGTTTCTTTGCTATGCCTCCTTTTCCTATGTTTCTCAAAATGTTTGTGGGCTAAGGAATTCACTTAATAATTGTGAATGATTTTTTCCTAATCCCAAGGCACCAATACCTTGACAAATAAAATAAGCCAGCATACAGGTATTTTAGCTCCTAAGATACAAATATACAGTTATTATTTCTAGCAAGCATAGTAGTTTATATAGCAATGGAGAGTAGGAGGCAGGGGAATGTCAAGTTTGTGGCCAGCTTAAACTACATAGTGAGACACTGTGTCAAAAACACCAAGACTGTAGATGCATCATAGTGGTAGAGTGTTTGTCTAACACATGCAAAGCCCTGGGTTCCATCCCTAGCAGAGAAAAAAAAAAAGTCCAAAACTTTATGGGGAAAAAAAGTTACTATTATCACATTTTCCTTGATGGCTCACCTTTGGGTACATCACATAGCTTTCTAAATGCTGTAAAAACAAAACCAAACTAACAAAAGATCCTGATACTCAATTAGTTCTACAAAGAACAGCAGCCACAGCAAAACTAAAACAAATAACAGCAGGAGCATCAATACCAAACCAAGTCATATGTATCTCTGCTTTTACTGTACTACAATTAATCTTCCCAGTAATGCCTGGGGAAAGTATTATT